ATGGCCGTAAGTGCTTTACAGACTGTAAAGCACCCTTTCTGAGGCCACTGTAACTTCAAACTGTCATTAAACAAATGGTCGTTAAGTGAGGACTACCTGCATGTAGTTGTGAGCTCTGATTCATATATTTTGTTGGAAAATGGTTTAACTGAAATAAGAAAAATAATAAAAAACAAATTACAAATTATTCTGAAACACATTAGTATTCAAGTTAGAGTAAGCATGCATATAATTCAGCTATCTATTTGTACTGTGTATTATCCAATGATCATTTTTTTCCCAGACAGGTGACCTACGCTTTGAATCCCTATCAAAAGCTGTTTAATCAGTGAAAGTAAACACTATATGCTATGCATACCACAAGACAAAACAAAATCATATACCACTTTAATTTCCATGAACAACAAAAATTTACAGTCAGCATGAAGTTGTCTATCTGCTTTTTGAAAGACAAATTATGATGAATTATTTCATTTACCTTCTTCTCTTTTACAGACCCATTTTCTTTGATGGTAACAATCTGCCACAGAAAGATAATTTTGGAAAGCAACTCCACAGTCATAATCAGAAAGCATGTATCTTCTATTTCGCCTAATGACCCTGTCAAGAATTACAAGGAAGAAAAAGTATCTTAATACATAACTCAATTCTTAAGCCCTATCACAGTTTAATAATACAAAATAAATTTGGTAATGATGTTCAAACAGCAACCTAAGTCAACCTGGCTCAATGAATAGTGACATCCCCCATAGAAAACTCAAAAGTTCTGATGCTCCACCAAAAAACAGCCATTCTGAAACTGTCATTTCTGTTTCTGAAAGTCACTGGCCCAGTTCCATTTATCACATATAAGCATAACTAGCATATGAACATGCCCTCTCTTATTGTACTATAGTTCAATCTTCTTTTATGAGATGAACAATCAGATTAATTTAATCTTAATAGGGCAGCTATGGTGACTCTGAAACAAACCAAGATATTTAAACCACAGTTTGAAGTTGGTTAATATTCTTGGTTGTTGCACAGTTGATAACTAGTTTCTCAGTTTGGCCAGAACAGAAAACTATTGAGAAATGTTCTGATTTGATTTCTCATTTTTCAGAAAAAAAAAAGTAAAGAACTTCCCAGGCAGGGAAAATACTTGTTTGTACTATATAGCTCAGAGAACCCCAAGGACTCCACAGTACCATATCTTATTTTTTCTTATTAAAATGCAGTTTGATCATCTGAGCAAGGCCATTCTGGCTTTTGAAACTTGACAAAACAATAGGCTCACTGAGACCAAAAGATCCTCTACCAAATTTCTGAAAATAAGTATGTTTTACTTATTATACCACATTTATTTTAAGCATTTTACTACATTTTTAGCACAAAAAAAAAAAGAGCAGTTCACAATGATTAAATTTTATGCAACTGTAAAGGGATGAGTAAAACAAGTTGACAGATCAGTATTTTTTTTTGTTAGACAGTTGTATTCTGTTTAAACTCTGAACCCTGACAGAGTAACAACCAGACTGGTTTTATTTCCAAAACAGTCTCACCATGCATTTTGAAAAACTGAAGATGAATTATCTACCCAAAGATACTGGGCAGATCGCTTGTAGAAGATCAAACCAATCCAGCTGTCATCTCCTTTATACTGTACCCACATCTGAAAATAAAACAATCATCTGAACTATCCATTAACATGAGTCTGGAATAGAAAGGTTGGTTAAAATAACAACTGAGGTCTCTCCAAACACATTTATCCCATTTGTCCTTTTAAAATTAATATGTAACTAGAGGGAAATTACTAAAGTCTATGTTGAAGCAAGAACAAAGATTTACATCCAACATAACATTCTGTTATTCTAAAAAAGAAGCTCCAATTCAAGAACTTCTAAAATACCTATTCTCCAATATCTATTCCACATTGACATGCCCAAGGCATATACGTACACCCGTTTAAAATGAACTTCTAACAATACTGACACTGTTATATTACTACCAGCAATGTTAGCTGCATTGACACTTACAGCCAGTGTGTCCTTTGAAACTTACTGTCAGTCATGTCTGAATTATACAACACACAACTAACAACTATGATTACAGAGTCCTTTTCATCAACTTTGACTGTTTTGCCAGCTGTACCCATTCCTGGGGTAGCACATCAAATCAATTAGAGAAAATCTGACAATGTAGCTATGAAAAATACACTGAATTCATTGATTTACTAGAAATGCTAAAAGACAACATGTAGATTCATAGAGTTCTTGGAAATCATCTTTGGTGAAAAATATATTATAAATAAGTAAAGAAGTAATTGGAGAAAATTTGTGTCATGAAATTCCAGTTGATTGGTTCCCCCCCATAAGCTGTGATATTTATCAACCCAAATAATTATTTATATAATCAATTCAGTTGGAAAACTATGATAACATTAGTAGATTACTAATAATAATCATAAAAGATTAGTGAAACAATATGTGGGATTTTGTTACACTGGAAAATTAAATATTCTAGGCTCCTGGAGGAAAAGCAGGGTATACAGTTGTGTGAAAAAGAAAGTACACCGTCTTTGAGTTCTATGGTTTTACATAACAGGACATAATAACAATCATCTGGTTCTGTTACAGTTAGACTCTAACAAGTAAATAAACTGAAATAAAAGAGACCGAATGTGGCTCTTTTTTCTTTTTTGCCCACCAGTGGGTTTTGTGCACTAATCAGTTACATTTATTTCAGCTGACTTGCACTCTTTTCCTGCCAAATGGGTTAGAGTTAGGGTTAGTGCTATCAATCGATGTTATATTTGAAAGAAATTATTCAGGTCCTGTGTCAGCACAGTACATCTCTGCTATTCCTACAAAGAAAAGGAGCCTGAAAAAAGATGCAACTGCTTCATCAAACCAGCCACAACTTTATCAAGTTTGTGTAAAAGTGTGAAAAAAGACCTGGCATCTGATTAATTTAATTTATTCAATTTAGGCACCACCCAACTCTGAACTGACTCTGGGTAAAAAAACCCCCAAAATATAGAAAATACAATACAATAAGAAATAGGAAAGAAAGATTAGTAGCAGAGAAAAGCTGTTTTTATGCTAGGCCCAATACATTTCTGTAGCATGCACACTGCTAGGACATGTAGTTAGTCTTGATATACTGTTAATTTATGATTCCTCCCTCCAAAAAAAGGCTCACAAAACCAAATTTAACTCACAATATGAAAACAGTAAAAATAATAATACCTTTTCACGACTGTTTGTAATTTTAACTAAGTCTGCTTTCTTAAATCCTTGGCAAGCAATCCTTGCATTGTCCCATGTATCTTTTTTTATGTTTTCCACATAATAACATGATTTGGAAAAATAGTACCACTGGGGTTTTTTTGGGCATAAGCCTGTGAAAACTTAAAAAAAAAAAAAGTAGCTGTAATGAAGCAATCCCTCACATGTCCACATGAATGTATCGATGTAGAAACATAGGTCAAACGAGAATATATTTCAAGACTGGTACACAATTTCAGGTTGTCTTGAACTCATATCTCCTGTTGAAAGAAAAGGCCACTGTGGCTAAGAGGCCTTTCCATAGGTACATCCAATACACAAGTTGCATCCATTCTTTTCTGGACCAGGAGACCTTTCAGACACTCACTTATACCTTAGTTACCCCACAAATGGATTACTATAATGCACCCTACATGGGGTTATGTGTGAAGACCACTTGGAAGCTAGAGTTGGTGCAGAATGCAGCAGTGTAGGCAATGATAGGCATGCTTCGTTATGTTCATGTGACTCCACTGCTCCATGAGCTGCACTGCTTGGCTTCTGGATTCAAGGTTCTGGTTACTACCTATAAATCCCTTCATGCCAAAGACCTTTGAGAGGTTGCCTGGCTCTAGTTGTTTCTGTCTCTCTGGTGAGTTTGGGCAGAGTGGGCATACTCTGGGTGTCAATTAAGCATCATCATCTAGTGGGACCCAAGAAGTATGCTTTCCTGTTGTGATGCCTCCCCTCTGGAATGAGATTTCCCCAGAGATCAGGATGGCTCCCACTCTGATGATGTTCAGGCAGCTATTAAAGACCCAGTTATCTTCCCAGGCTTTGGGGAAGGGTTGAGGTCTTGTTGGATGGAGGGTTTTGGCTTATGTGTTTGTCTTTGGCTGCTTAAGAATTCTTTGAATTTTTTTTTTGGTGTGTGTGTGTATATTTTTTCTTACTTTTCAGTGTTAAGCCGCCTAGAGTTATTGGGAGGTAGACAGTCTATAAATTGCATAAATACATACATACATAAAGGACACACAGACTTGGAGATACTGGGGAAAAAAAAGAGTTAACTCCTGCTACATTACTCAGCAAACAAAAGTCAAGCCCAACAGCATTTATTCTAGGGAGAGTTCCCATTGCACCAAACCAAACATAAAATTAAAGCTAGATCACCAAGATGAATTATCTCACCAAGATGAATTCTCTCAGGGAGGATTTTTTTTAAATAGCTGTGAAGGTATGATTGTGTTGTTAAGTAAACTGAGAAATCAGACCATACTCTACTCTACTTTAAAAGGGTCTCTGGTAAATTTTCCAGTAAAGGAAAATTCACATTCACCATCCCTGGAAATTCAGCAGAGGTATACTTTCAATCTCTTGCATCTTCCATTTTTTCCGATTATTCGAGTAGAAATTTTCTCCTTGACACTGCATTCATACCCCAATAAACTGAAAACTGGCATGAATAACATTGTCTCAGATGATTTTCTCCTCTTGCTTGCATAAATGTGTGCCCACTCTAAGCTCCAAATACTCTTAACATATTAATCTCACTTGTGATAATATAATTGAATATTAACATTAATAAAAGCTTTGAGTTTAGTTAGTTATCCAGAAGGCCGTTTTTTCATTGGTAAGCTGCAGAAGTTTTAGTGGTTTTCTAGTAGAGTCTGTATGACAACTGATCTGCACAATAGGACATTTTTAAAACTATAGCACAGAAAAGGAGATATATCAGGCATGGGATGTGAGTGTGTATGGTAGGAGAAGAATAGATGGGTGGCCTTACAAATTGAATTAATAAAAAAATTGATTGATTAATCAATAAAAAATTTGATAAATAAAATAATAAATTTCTAACTTTACCATATCACCCTAAATGTAATAATTATGACACCCCTACACAGTTTGAAATGTTTCTCTGTGATCCTTACAATCCTAAAGGTCAGTTGATTCAATAATCTGTACATTATAGATAGGTAGTGGTATGCTTACTACAATATTCAGCAATTTCTATTGTCATTTAATAATTCTGATATCTAAGAGTGAGATAAATTACATATTTTAAAAGGGAGATAGAGGAGGAGTTGGAGAGACAGTAATAAGTAGTCAACTTAAGAGAAAAAGGGTGACTTGTATATGCAAATTGAGAAAATAAAAACAAATTAAGTATTTTAAAAAAGACAAGAAAAAAATGGGAGAGCAAAAAACTATCTAAGAGCTTAGAAGCAGCAGTATATTTTACCTTGTTCAGCACACTTTGGATCTGGAGAGTCTAAGCTACATTTGGTTAGGGTAGAAGCCATACATTTGCCAGTGATAGGATTGCAGGGGAGGTCATTTTTACACTTCGGGCATTGGAACTGACAGTTTGTGCCATGAAATCCAACCCGACAAACTAGAAGGAAAATTAAAAATTAAACAGCTTCAAAAAAAAAATTAGAAGAATAATATGTATTTTTCCATGCTTCTTCTAAGAACTGTTTGAGGTTTGTAAATACTTTGCAAAATATGTTAGAACCAGGACACAGTCATGATTAAGAGAACAGATGGCCCTCATTATTCACAAGGGTTTTATACCAGCCTAACAATCATGGATAATGAAATTGTGGATAATGAGACCTTGAAAAAATTTTTTTTTCTGAATATACAAAAGCTCATCCTCCATTTTGCACAGTCTTAATAAACAAAAACACTCTGAAAAATCTCTCAAACAGCACCATATATCAAAACAATAAATACGTAAAACTCTTTCCTGTGGATAACGAGGTATGGTCTGTATTTTCTTTTATTTATTTATTTTTATTTATTGAGAATTTTACATAAAGTAAAAGACAAATCTAAAGGAAAAAAAAGAAGAAAAGAAAGAAAAAAGGACGAAAGAAAAAGGGGCAAGAAAAGAAAATAAGAAAAACTAAAGTTATGAAATATGACTTCTGAGCTTCTCTTCAACAGATAATTACAGTGTTATAATCCCTCCTTCCTCTTAGTGTTGTGCAAATCCCTTCATCTTAATCCACATCTTTTAAAATCCTCTTAGATGTTGTGCAAATCCCTTCACTTAATCCACATCTTTTAAAATCCTCAAACCTATAAATCATATCATTTTTCTAATTCCTTCAGCAAAAAGTCCATATAAGGCTTCCAGTCTTTCAGAAAAGTTTTTGTTGTTTTTCTCTGACTAAACAGGTCAGCTTGGCTATCCCAGGAAAGTCTGATATTTTCACAATTCATTCATTGTTCTTCCATCGTTGAACATACAATAAGCTTTCTGCAGTCACCATATACAAAATAAGTCTGCCATAAGTTTTTCCTAATTAATTTATCCATAAGTCCCAATAAAAAAAGTTCTGGTTTCTTCACAATATTTATCTTTAAAATCCTTTGCATCACAGTATGAATTTGTATCCAAAATTTCTTAGCTTTCTCACAAGTCCACCATACATGATAAAATGTCCCCTCAAGTTTTTTACATTTCCAACAATGCTTTGAAATACCTTTCTACATTTTTGATAATTTCTCTGGTGTCATATACCAACAATACATCATTTTATAAATGTTTTCTCTTAAGTTATGACATAGTGTAAATTTAATACCAGTTACCCACATTCTCTCCCAAGTGTCCATCTGTATATTATATCCAAAATTAATAGTCCATTTTGTCATGCAATCTTTAACCAGTTCTTCTTCTGTTTCAAATCTTAACAGAAGTTTATACATTTTTGCTATTACATATTTATCATTTGTACATAGTTCAATTTCAAATTCCATTTTGTGTTTTTCAATTCCAATTATCTTTTTACCCATATTAAACCTTTCTTTTAATTGAGCATATGAAAATCATTGAAAACTATTTTGTTCTCTTGACTTTGTCTAAGGTATGGTCTTTTTAAAAAAAATTTATCCCACCTTTATTATTTTTATAAATAACTCAAGGTGGTGAACATACCTAATATTCCT